CATCTTCACCGATCCAAAGTCTCCAGCTTGGTATGTTGTGAAGTATTTCCTGTTGGGGGTAACGTGATAGGATGCTGCAGTATCTACCACCCATTCAATGTCTTCTCTTGAGACATGAAGACACGTCTCACCATGGTTAGAGCAATATGCTACATCACCTGAGACAGTGATGAGAGTTTCACCACTCTTGCCTTTGTTCTTCTGCTGAGAACTATTCTTCGACTGAGAATTGCTCTTCCCCTGCTCTTCGAGCCATTTATAGCAATTCTTCTTCATATGACCTTCTAGACCACAATGATAGCACACATGTGATCTCCGATCATCTGATTGCCTCCCCTTGCTTCTATCCCTGCTCTTCCCTCTACTGCTTCTTTGTTGCTTGCCTTGTGGTCTTCCTCGATTCTCCATCACAAGGGCATGGGTCTGATCTGTGCCCATGTCTTTCCTTCTTGCCTCTTCATTGAATAAGGCATCCTTGACAACGGACATGGAAAGTTTGCCGTTTGAGGCTGAATTGCTGAGAGTAACAACAAGTGTTTCCCAACTATCAGGAAGAGAACTAAGAAGTAGCAGAGATTGTATTTCATCTCCAAGCGGCATCTCCACACAAGATAGTTGATTTACCAGGCTCTGGAACTCACTGGTATGCTCGGCAACAGAAGTTCCACTTTTCAACTTCACATTGACTAAGCGCCTCATCAATAAGGCCTTATTCCGAGCGGTCTTGGCTTGGTACATGTCCTCCAGCTTCCTCCAAAGGACATATGCGTCGGTTTCTTGTGCAACATGATGGAAGACACTATGATCAATCCATTGTCGGATTTGACCAATAGTTTTTCTGTTGATTTTCTTCCATTCTAACGCCTTGGACGGATCAGGGTTAATACCCTGCAGCTCTATTGGGTCAAAGAGCTCTCTACAGCTGAGGAAATCTTCAATCCGAGGTTTCCACAGCGTATAGTTGGTAGCCGTGAGCATAATCATAGCTCCAGAAGATGAAGTTGACTCTTCCATGGCCATTTTACACCTTCAATGATCTGTTTGGGA